GAAAGAACTCCATTTGTGTTTCAGAGGTCTGTGTCCACACCTGATTATCTGGGTCAAAGTGAATTCATACCATGCTTTAAGGTTAAATTTTTTGGCCTTGGGTTTTTCTCCCCATCAGGTGCATCAAAGACAATTCTTACGTCAACCTCCACTCTGGCCAGAAGAATGTGGTTCAGTTCAAGTTCAACGCCTTCAGCTTTCTTGACAGCTATGATGTGGTCTATGTGCAGTGTAAGATCGCCGTGTGCAAGGTGAGAGACTCCTCTCGCTGCTCCCAGGGCTGTGCAGGGCGGAGCAGGAGAAGTTTAGGTGCCTCGGAGGCCAAGGACGAGCAGACTGAACATTTCCAAACAGTGGGTCCGCTGGAGATCCACAAAGTAACTGCTCAAAGCAACACTCTTGTGTGATTTATCCATTTTCACAGGAACCTCCTAGAAATTAGAAAGCAAAGACTAATTTCTCTTATGTTTGACAAATCAAGTTTTCTACATAGAGACAAGTAAAAGAATCAGCTACAGGAGATGCTTCTCTAAGGTTTGTTACTAAATAAATCTTCTCTGATCACTAAACTTCTGAGGCAATTACTCTCTTTGTTTTGGCTAGAAATGCTGCAATTTTCTAATTCTTCACTATCAGGCACTGGATCATTGTCTAAAAATGTACAAAATGTTACAAAGAGAAGAGTTCTCTCTCTATACCCCATTGCCCATTTAAAGTTTTTTTTTTTTAAGTTTGATTTCTTGTTGTTTTGTTTTGTTTTTGGCTGGGGCTAGGTTTGAACCCACCACCTGCGGCATATGGGACTAGCACCCTACCCTTTTGAGCCACAGGTGCCACCCTAAGTTTGATTTCTTAATGATCAAGTGGATCTTGTTTCTGTCCTTCTGGAGGTGTAAGAATTTATTTTTAGATTTTGCCAAGAGTCTTATGAAAAACTGTCAGGATGCCACTGTCCTTTTTTTTATTTTTTAACTCTAATCCCTGGTTGGTGGAATCCAACATGTCATTTACTCATCCTACAAGCTTTAAGTGGTTTGTTTCAATGGGAATAAATTGGACCCAGGCTTTGTCGGGTTTGGTTCATAGGTTACAAAAGAGAAAGGCTGAAATACAATCATAAGAACCACATATCTGCGGTTTGAGCCACCAGGTGCTCATGTGGTCATGTGCTCAGTCTGTTTCCCAGATCCAAAAACATTCATGGAAACCAGAAAAGTACACACGAAACCTGAAAAGCAAATATGGAAAGATTAGCACATTCCAACATCCTCCAAGAAAAGGAGAGAACGCCTGTTTTAATCTCTCTTTGTACTTTAACAGAAGGAGACTTGTGCTAGACGCACAACTCTCAAAGTTGGCTTTAAAGAAAAATGCTTGCACATAGATTTTTATTTCTGTTTGTTAAGAAATGTCTAGTCGCAACATTTAAAAGAAAGGTCCCCATCTCTAAGAAATTGTTCCACTCTTTGTCAATAAATATCATGTACGAGATGGGACTGCAGTATCGTCAAGAGTCCCAAGGAGGAGATCAGAGTCTGGTGGAGCCTGGGAGCTAACCCTGATGTCCCCAGAGATGAAAATGATCCAAGGAAGATGGGGTCTCTGAGGGGGCACATCTCAGTTTTATTACAAACATGACTTTTCTGGTCAACTGTCTTGGTAAGATATACTGACATTTTGACATAAGAAGTTCCCTACTTATACATAGAAATTAATGAAATAAACGTGCTTTTTGCCCAATTTGGTGAAAAGGCTATCTTTTAAATCAAAGTTAATTATTTGTCCCTGAGTAGCTTCATCTTCAGTCACATGAAACAGTTTTAACATCTAGTGTCTATATCATGTAAGTGCTCCAAATGAATAAAGGAGTTTTTACAAGTTACTGTGGGCTGCCGAGTTTCTGCTCTTAAAAGTTCATCTGCCAATTTGCTCTACCTACCATAACAGGCTGAGAAAGTAGAGGCTAACGGCTATCAAAATCTAGCATTTTGTTACTTTCAATAAATCTCTAATGTGAAAAGTATTGATGGTGAAAGAACTAATGTTTTGATAAATAAGTTCAAGAAGAAGCACTACTCCCCAAATCCAGGTGATTCTTACAAACACTGAGGTTGGAAAGCCATGGCCACTGTTCAGCATCCCATATTCCATGGATCAAAATGCACTTAACAGGGAGAAGCCTACAGTTGGAAAACACCAAAGATGCAGCCAAAAAGATGCAAGAAATGCCTCCACTCTGTAGCCAAAGAACCAGCAAGGGGGAAACCAAGCCATGTAGGAAAGGTTTCCTTAAAAACTGTCCTACACTTGGCTCGGCACCTGTGGCTCAAGTGGCTAAGGCACCAGCCACATACACCTAAGGTGGCGGGTTCAAATCCCCAGCCCGGGCCCACCAAAAACAACAATGACGGCTGCAACCAAAAAATAGCTGGGCATTGTGGCGGGCGCCTGTGGTCCTAGCTACTTGGGAGGCTGAGGCAGGAGACTCGCTTGAGCCCAGGAGCTGAAGGTTGCTGTGAGCTATGATGCCACGGCACTCCACCCCAGGGGATAGCTTAAGGCTCTGTCTCAAAAAAAAAAACAAAAAAACTGTCCTACACCATGGGAAGCACTGTGGCTCCCCTCACTCCAGCCAGCAAAAGTTGACAATCTCTCACTTTCCCCCAGGACCTCTTCCTTCCCCTTCCCCTCACCAGGGTGGTGTCAGAGAAGGCAGCGTAGGGACTGGAATGCCCATCATCTCCAGGCAGTAGTAAAACTCTCACCTGCATCCCCCAGGTAAGGAGCCTGGTCTTCCATTTCCACCCTTATTTGGAAGGATAGAGGTCACCCTTTCACTCTTTGCTAATTGGAGGTGACCCAGTGGATGTTCACTCCTGCCCAGTAATAATGAGGGAACCCACCCCTTGAGGAGCAGAGGCCACGTGGGCAGCCTGGATTCCACTCCCTGCCCCTCCAGTTGGCATGTGCCTGGTATTCCATTGCCCATCCCTTTGTTTTTAGCCTTTCTGAAACACCATAGTAAGCACCTTGGTACCTCTTGAATACAACAAAGAGCTATATTTTGCTTTGTGCAACATTCTGAAATTCCTGCTCTTTTAGAAGGTGACTTACTGACTGCTCTGGAGTGAAACCCAGATGCACCCTCAAACGGAGTCCCTTGTTTTCCAAGCAGCTGCGTGTGTTGGTGATGGATGGCTCTCAGCACCACTGCTCTCCAGGAATTTCCTTCAGCTCAAGACAGCTGTCTTATCCAAGTTCACAGCTCCCCACCCCCGGGCAGCCCTCTATCAAAGACTGGCCCACAGAGGTATAGAAAGGTCTGAACACTATGCCTCAGTGGCGCGTGCAGCCAACCCAGCCCTGGGGGGTTGTCCACTTCATAGAGCACCGACTCCCTGTCTGGTCCTGCTCCCCTCCCATCTCACACACTCCCAGGAAGGCCCTGTACCCCAGCCTCTGTGTTAGTCCACTTCCAGGAACTCAACCTATGACAGGCAATACCTAATCTGTGGCCCAAGCAGATTAGGAGCAGATTCTACAATGGGACTTTGGAGCTAACAGTGAGGACTCATCACTAGTGGTAAGTGGACCTTCTTGTTTAACCCTCACCACACCCCCAGGTTATGGTAGTGCTGCCAGCCCCTACTTTAAATTGTAAACACCATGGCTGAAGGCGACCTGGCCAACATAACCCACAGGTAAGTGGGAAGAACTAGAACCCAGGCCAGCAGCTCCACATCTGGGACCGTCTATCACTTCTTCCCCTAAAGAGCACACTTACCAACAGCAGCACGCAGGAGCATGTCTCACGTCTCCACTACAAAGGATTTTTTGATCCATGGTAGTAATGATTTTTCCCTCTCTGGAGAGTCACAGTGTGTTCTTAGTGTCCCACTTCCATGCCTGGTGTGCCTCTGAAAACCTGCCAAGTTGGCCAACAGAAAATGGCCACTCAATCCCTGATGGGCAGCGACTGGCCCAGAGAATCATGCTGTTCTGAAGAACATGATGTGATTTGCCCACTCTGATTAAACTCATAGAAGGTTTGTGTTGGATTAAAAAAGAACTTTGCAGTAGTCCAATTTGGGCTGCATAGATGGAAATAGAGGCAAGTTACTGCATGAGGAGCATTTGGGAGATGTACATAGAGATACCAAAAAAATATGGGAAAGATGTGGTTTGATTTGGGGTGGGAAATATCAGTCGAGCCCCTAAGGACGTGTTCTGAGAGGTAGAAATTGTACCACATCCCTCGTGGGTTCCCTTCAGCATCCAGACAAGCAATACACGCTCACGGACGTAAACAGAACGTTCTGGAGTTTGGGAATGTGGTCACCTGTTTGGATTCATATGAGAACCTTAAACCGTGTGTGTGGTTCGTTGGTAAGGTGACGCTGTATAGTTCATCTACGATGATTAGATTCAGTGTTTGGCACGTGTAACATCAGCTCATCCTGAGGTCCGTACTCATAAGTGTTCAGCTCCATTACAGGGGAACCTGCACATGCGAACTGGCTACTCCTTGCAAGGGTGATTAACCTTTGGCTTTTGTGCTTGATGGTAAAAAGGAGGAGAAATGCTTTTATCTCATCACCCCAGAAATGGGATGCAGTTTCTCATTTCATAGTCACATTCTTCGATCCGAAAGTCTCTCCTGAAATGCTCAAGGTGCAACATGCTTTAAAGCAATGAGGCTGTGAACCCAGGAGGTTGCTATTCTCTCTCTCAAACTTAATAGTTTCAGAAATTCTGACTTCTGATGTTTTAAAAGGTAGCATATTTGCATCTAAAAAATAAACGAATCTAACTCTGAAGGCTACATAAGTAAAAATGACCCTTTCTTTTTCCCCTAAAATCTGGTTAAAATGTTTTATACTTATGATATGAGGTGCTTTAATTCACGTATATTTTGGTGCCTTTAGTCCTAAAATGAAAGCCAACTGACATATTGTTTATTCATTTCAGTCATCACGGTGACACGAGCGTCTGCATATCACTAATTCTTAATGTCCGTAGCCATGAGGTGCCACTTCCTCTGGCATCCAGGAGAAATGTGTCCCGCTTAGGGCGCGCCCATTAGTTAATGGTCCTGCAGCTTCTGGTATTTGTAGCCGGCCCGCTGATTTACAAAATGCCTCACTGTGACGGTGACCACAATCACCACATTCAGAGCTAGAACCAGGAACGAAAACAGGTGCAGACTGTTGAAGGGCTGCCTCTGAGTTTCTCCTGTGTGTGTTTGAGGCTGAAACTCTGTGGTTGGAAACAGGACGAAAATCATTTTTTAAAAAAGTGTTAGCATTACAAAATGTTGGTAACATTTATCATAAGCCTACACCTCCTATGAATCTTACACATGAATCAATAATGTATAATGCATGATGCCAGCACAATATAAAGGAACGATTATCCAATATTTGGATCAGTTTACATTTAATTTTGAATCTATTTGTTTCAAATGGTTAAAAAAGAACTTTGAATTAGTTTGGAATTAGTTTGGTTCCTTGATGTAAGATGAAGAACATGTGAATTCAAACACCACAGCCAAATGGCAATGCTGTTTCATGTATTAATGATCACTATTTCTCATAGTTTGAAAATACATTTGACAAGAGGAAAAAAGTGGTTTATCTTGAAATAGGAAAAAGATACTTTCTAATATGTATGATATATGCATTGTGACTTTCATTCACAAATTTTCTAATTTCAAACCAGTATCTATGGATACGCCACACAAGCCTCCTAGTGAATGTGTTTATAAAATTACTGAATTTTGGTTTGTGTTCTCCTATGTTTACTATGGAAATACTTTGCTACAAACCAGAACCATACGCTCCTTTACAGTGCTAATAATAATAAATAAAGACACAGGTCACAGGGTCCTTTAATGCCACTTACACCTAAGATAAATTTCTATAAATAGTTTTTGTTGCCTTAGAGCTTTTCTTAAGCCTTTTAATCATGGACTATCCTTTATGATTTGCCACTCTTTCCCATTTGACCAGGCAGATCCCTCGTTTCAGGCCTTTTAAAAGAAGCGGGGCTGTCCTGTGTTAAGATGATAGGTTCCTTGTTTTCCAAAAATAGACTTTTTTTTCAAATAAGCCATTGTGTGAGATCTGGTTCACTTTGTTTTACTCACTTAGGGGTTAAAACATTGCTTTTCATTTAGGCATCTGCTATGTCATCTATAATAAGTCAAGAAGCTAATGGAAACTGTTTTTAGAGATGAGGACATGACATTTATACTCAAAAGCCATGTAAATAATGTTGAATTTTCATCGTGTCATATGCTGACACTGTATGTGACATGAATATTATCAGTAGAAATGGATATTAATCCTGGGTGCTCATAACTTATTTGCTAAAACTTCTATAAATCTTTACACTGTACATGCTTAAGAACTGCCAGATTTGAATAGCGTTTTATGAGCCATGAGGTGTTCCCAGACCATGAAATAACTTTCCTCTTACCTGAATTACCACTTGCACTTCGATCCCTTTTCAGACGAATGGGTCCTATGATGGAATCAGTCTTCCACTTGTATGAAGAAATGTCTCGTTTTCTTCTGGAGACACAGCCTTGATTGCAGCGAGACTGGTGGTCACCACTGTCACATATCAAAACTTTACACTGCAGATACACGGAGCTCAGACTTCTCAAGAATTTAAAAGAATTAAACTGGAATCTTCCATAGTGCCCAAATAGGGGGTACACCTTACACGTCTCGTCACGACTACATCTGGAACAGAATTTATAAATATGTTCAGAAGATGCACAAGTTCATTCTTGTTGATACTAAAAAGAGACAACACAAAGGTTTCTCTGAACTAACTTGTGAATCCAAAAATCTCTCTGGAAAGACAAAGTCTCTAGTTCAGACTACCGTGAGCTAAGACTGTAAATCTGATTCCTGGGTGAGATAGATAGCCAGGTTCCTCCTGGCTGTATGCTTTTGATTCAGTGGTCCATGCAAATTAACTGGAAAAACCAACGCCTATGTATAGGAACACAAACACGCTTGTTATTAAGGGATCAGTGTGAATGATTAGTTAAAATCCATCAGTTTTTTTTTGGTGTTGGGGGAGGAAATTTTCTGTCACAGAAGAACTTTATACTTTTCCTTTTAAAATACCACATGTATTTTATTGACAGTATTATAATCTAAACCTGGCATACATGAAATAGTCTTCTGAGTTGTTGAAAATAACTGAAATATACAAAAACCTTTCTTGACATAAAATAAGTATGTTTCCACCAGCAAATATTTCATAAAGACACTTAAAATTCTATAGGGCATAAGTTGTATCTGTATAAATGTTTTAATTTAAATCATCTATAACCAGTATATAATATTTTATAAAATAATTAAATTAAATAAATTCCATGGTAGTTCTAGGAATAATTTTTAAATATAGGCACACACAAATTACTTTATTAAAATAACTATTACTCCTCAGAAAGAAATACCATACACACGTCAGTTGCGTCAATACATACCCACTCTTGATTAAGTCATAGGTTGGAGAGGCGAAGTCAGAAGTGGGAGAGGCTCTACAGGTATCGAGAAAAACCACCAGATTTGGATCTGAGGTGTGCAGACTGACTTGAACAAAAAGAGTCTGGTTCAAATCCACATAGTATGGTGACTCGAGGAGAGCCTTTTCAAATGAATTAGATTCAAAAAGAGCCATGGTTGTGTTATATTTTCCGAGTGCATTTTGATTTTGTATCACATCATCTTCTGTTACGTACATCATCTCCACAGTGGAATTGTGTTCCATTTCACATTTCACAATAATCTGGAGATGTTTCTGACGGGTGATCACTTCAGAAGTTGGGGATGCAAAAAAGGTGATTATATTGGTGTAGGTAATTGACTGATCTTCTACCTGAAGAGCAAGATGGAATTCAAAGTTTATGTTTTAAGTCCAGTTATCTTTTGGTTTTTTTGTTTCAAAATATTAAGGTGGTACCAATGTTTTAAGTGACGTGGATTGCTTTTATAATGCTTGAGTCCTAGCTATATGTAACACCTGCCACCCAAAAAGTGTTCACTATTCCCCTGAGGTAGGTTTTTGCCCCTGATCCCTGGTTGACTTTCACTGAGTTTTACTTCCCTCTGTGCACATGCCCGCTCTTTGGTTAGTCCCAATTTGATGGTCATCCAGTAATATTTTAGAATATAGATGTAAATAACATTTGCAGGTGGAGACACAGTTTTCTTAAATCACAAGATAACAGCGTTCATGTCAGAGTGCTATAAACCTTAAATGTGTTTCATTGAAGAAATATTCTGGCAAAGGGCGAAAGAATGAAATGAGAGATACAGCATGTGTTGGAAAGGCCTTAAGATAGAATTGGACTCCTGTCTTAAGTTTAAGTCCTTAATCCAGTGAGAATCTATCTTAGTTAATGGTGAAAGGTGTGGATCCAGTTTCAGTCTTCTACAGGTCCCCAGCCAGTTCGTCCAGCACCATTTGTTAAATAGGGAATCTTTTCCCCATTCAAAGTTTTTTATTGGTTTATCAAAGATGAG